TCCTGCTCATCCCGCCTGCAGACCTCTGTCCTTCCGCCACTTTTCCCCGAACCCCTTAAATCTCTGCCCAGAACATCCCCCCGCCCCCATCCCCACCCAGAGCTCTGCACACCCTGCTCAGCCCCGGGGGCACCACGTCTGCGACCTGCCACTAACCCCAGGGCGTCTGCAGCCCGGGCTCTGCTCCCGTCACTGCGCTGACACCGGGCTGCTTCCCGCACTCGCGGCGCCAAGCACTGTGCCCGGGGTTTGCCACAGAATCGCTGGGGTACAGCAACCGGGCGGGCAAGGGATCCCCCGGCCTCAGGATCCTTCCTTCCTTTTCTTTTCTTTTTTTAAAACTATTCACCCAAGGGAAGGTTAATTGATTGATTGTTGTTGTTGTTAATCCTCACCCGAGGATATTTTTTCCATTGATTATTATTATTTTTAGAACAATATTTTTATCGCCTTAACCCAGTGATGGCGAACCTTTTGAGCTCGGCGTGTCAGCATTTTGAAAAACCCTAACTTAACTCTGGTGCCGTGTCACATACAGAAATTTGTGGATCTTTGCAACCACAGTAAAACAAAGACTTATATTTTTGATATTTATTTTATATATTTAAATGCCATTTAACAAAGAAAAATCAACCAAAAAAATGAGTTCGCGTGTCACCTCTGACACGCGTGTCATAGGTTCGCCATCACTGCCCTAACCGGTTTGACTCAGTGGATAGACTAGAGCATCAGTCAGACCGAAGGGTCCCAGGTTCGATTCCGGTCAAGGGCACATGCCTGGGTTGCGTGCAGGAGGCAACCAATCAATGATTCCCTCTCATCATTGATGTTTCTACCAGTATCTCTCTCTCCCTCTCCCTTCCTCCCTGAAATCAAGGTCTTTAACTTAATCTCATCTACAAAGTCCCTTTTGCCACAAAAGGTCGGTCATTCAGAGGTTCCAAGGATTAGGACGCAGACACCTTGGGGGCGGGGTGGTCATTATTCAGCTCATTGGGGGGGTCATGTAAGATGTGATATGTGCACCTAAAATTCAATGTGAACCAAGTGCATTGGCCCCGGGATTTCAGGGACGGGGTGGAGCCCCACGATAAGAAACCTGAGGCTTGCGACTGGTGTGGCTCAGTGGTTGGGCGTCAACCTATGAACCGGGAGGGCACGGTTCGATTCCTGTCAAGGGCACATGCCTGGGTTGCAGGCTCAATCCCCAATGGGGAGAGTGTAGGAGGCAGCCGATCCATGATTCTCATCGTTGATGTTTCTCTCTCTCCCTCTCAATTCCTCTCTCAAATCAATAAAAAAACATTTTTAAAAAAACCAATGGAAAACTATCCTCGGGTGAGGATTAACAACAACAACAACAATAAATAAATAAATAGCCTGCCGTGGGTTCAGAGCTGGCCGTTCCCTTTGAAGCATTCGGGGCCTCTTGCAACTATCCTATCTAATAATAGACAAACATGGTAATTAACCATACCTTCACGGGGAGATCCTGGGGGCAGGAGAGAGGGGTCAGGCATGAGAGGGGTCAGGTGGGAAGGCAGGACGGGAGGCGGGGGGGAGGAAAGGGGGCAGCAGAGGGAGGGGACCAGGCAAGGACAGAACACCAGACCCAGACTTGTCTGGGTGACTCCACCTCTTTGCCTCGGTTTCCCCATCTCCAAGCCA